TGAAATGAGTTACTCTGTACATATTTTCAAAAGTTTTTGCCTTTGAACAGATAGAACACTGAGTTTGCCGTTTTCAGAGCCAAACACTTACAGTAAAAGTCAAGTACTATAACTGTACTTTTCTACATTTGTTTTATATCTTGACTTTAATCAATTTTAACTAAATATTTTAAAATAAAGGTTGTTTTGTGGAGAAACTCTTCAACTAATTGGTGTGAAACCCTTACTTTCTTATCACTGTATTTAGCTACTTTATTACATATTCAATAAGCTACTATAAGGAATCAAGGGAACAGTATTTCATATAGCAAATGTTCACCAGACATGACACATCAGATAATTTATCTGTAAATAGTACGGTTTCTTTTCTTATATTGCATCTATGAATTAATATTAAAATGGGCATTAGTGTCACTGCCTGGAGGATGAGTGTTGGAATACACAACAGTAGAAAGTGTTTTATATCAGTTAATAACAGAAAAGTCAAAAATGGCAGCAGTTGCATACTCGACTATTTTAACTCATTTTCTTGGATTCCATTGTACATTTGCCTTACATTGATATGTGGTTTTGAGCTCTACAGAGCAGATTCAAGCAGGCAAATCACTTTGAAGTCTTGTAAGATTTTATTTGGATGCATTAGTACATTGTTAGTTGTCATCCATGGTTTAACTTTCATGGGCACAATTGTCTATATTCATAGCAATCACAAACATTTTGGTACATTTTACATAATGAAGATGTTTGCTAGTATAGTTTTATTGTTCATTCCATTCTGTGCTATTTTATGTTATATTCCTAATACTGTTCAAGCTATTCTTTTACTGAGTAATGATGTTCATCAGAATCCAGGACCTACAAATCATTTTAAGCTCACAAAGATTTTATTCTCAAATATAAACAGTATAAGTGCAAATGTAAATGCCAGATTTGAAGCACTTAAAGATAGAATACAGATCAATGGAAATGACATTATTGGACTTTGTGAGGTTGGAAATATAACTGATTTGACAGTTTCTTCTGATTATTCTATAGATGGTCATTGTCATGTATAATCGAATAAAAATCGAGGCCTATTGATATATGTTAAAGATGATATCCCTTTTAAAATTAGAAATGACCTTATGAATGATCAGGGAGACTCCTTATGGATTGAATTGAGCATTAACCACAAGTCATATCTATATGCAATTTATTATAGGTCACCATCGCAAACTCAAAATGAGGCAAATGAATTCTGCACTAGGTTCTCAAACTCATGCAATATGGCACTTGACTCTAACCCAGAAGCTATTTTTATTAATGGAGATTTTAATGCAAGGAGTAAACAATGGTGGGCCTCAGACAATGAAAATTTCACAGGAAAAAAATTATTTGAACACATTGAAGAACTTGGACTTTTTCAGCTTATAGATGAACCTACGCGAATAACAAATACTAGTAGATCATGTATCGATCTTCTCATTTCAAATAGCCCTGATATTATAACAAATGCCTATGTCTCTCCTCCGATTGGAAACACTGACCATTGCTCAATAAACACGGAGTGTTTTCTTAAAACTCTTAAAAACCGTCCATATTCAAGAAAAATTTGGAAATATGACCAAGCAGATATAAGTATAATTAACAATTCAGTTCGAGCAGCAGACTTTGATCATTTGATAGATAGTAGTAATGATTTAGATGACATAGTAAGCAATTTTTCTAGAGGGTTACTTGCAATTTTTACAGATCTTATTCCAAACTCTGACATTGAAATTAAACCTACGGATAAGCCATGGTTTACAAGCGATATCAAAACCTTGATAAATAAAAGAAATAAATTACATCGTAAGTACAGGAAAACACATGATGACAAATACTTTAAAAAATATACTGATCAATGTAATCTTGTTAATGATGCTATTCGTGAGGCCAAAGAGGCAATGGAATCAAGGTTGTACTATAAATTAAGTAATCAGAGATATGGAAGCAAAGGATACTGGTCAATTGTAAGTAGGCTTTTGGGAAAATGTAAAAATAGTAAAATACCACTTCTTTGTGATGCTTGAGGTAACAGTTACACTGATAGCCATGACAAAGCAAACTTGCTACTGTCTCATTTCATTGACAAATATCATATAAATTATCAAGAAGGAAATGAAACTTTTATTCCAAGAACTGATCAATCTTTTGACCTACTCTCTACTAATGATAGAGAGGTTTATAGCATTTTACTTGGGTTAGATACAAATAAAGCTACTGGCCCTGACATGTTAAGCAATAGAATGCTTAAAATGGCAGCACCATCACTTTCACCCATATTATCAAAATTATTAAACAAAATGTTCATTCTTAATAAATACCCCCATTCTTGGAAGATAGGCCACGTTGTAGCAATTCACAAAAGTAAAGACAAAACAGATGTAAAAAATTATAGACCTATCACTCTTCTGAGCTGTATATCTAAAGTTGCAGAACGCGTAATCTTCAAAAGACTTTTTGACCATCTCATTGTGAACAATTAATTTTATAACCTCCAAAGTGGCTTTTTGCCAGGTCACAGCACCCAGGCACAGCTTTTAAGTATAATTGATGTCATAACTAATGAAATTGAAAATGGGGCCAATGTAAGGGGGATTTATCTTGACATTTCGGCCGCCTTTGATTCAATGCCCCATGGGCTACTATTAAAAAAACTGAAAATGTATGGTTTTGGTCATTACATCATAGAATTAATGAAATCTTACCTATCAAATAGACAAGTAAAAGTTGTATTGGATGGCCATGAGTCTGAACTATCTGAGATGAACCATATAAACGCAGGAGTACCTCAAGGCTCCATATTAGGCCCCCTCCTGTTCCTAATTTATATCAATGATCTACCTGATAACTTAAATACCAAATGTTTTATATATGCAGACGACACGTCACTTTACCAATCCTTCACAGCTGAAACAGCAGCTGCTAAGAATAATGAATTACAGTAGGATCTAAATAAAATTCTCTTATGGTCAAATACATGGAAATTAAACTTCAAAGCTAGTAAAAGTAAAGAAATGACTTTTTTTTAATCCAAGAAAGCGTGAAATTTTGACCCCAGATCTTTCCCTTGGTAATGACAAGTTACCAAGAGTAAACAATCACAAGCACTTGGGGTTGATTTTGGACAAAAATCTCACTTTTGACTATCACATTACTGAACTTGTAGCAAGAATAGATAAACTCATAAATCCGTTAAAAGTCTTCAGTAAGAAAATTAGTGGAAAACACCTTGAAACAATTTTTAAGTCTTTTATTTTGCCACTCTTTGATTATTGTGATATTCTTTATGGATGTGCAAATTTGACAAAACTACAACTTTTAGACCGCCTTTACTATAAAGCTGCACTTATTTGTTCAGGTGCCATGCATGGAGCATCATCCACAAAAGTGTTGAATACTTTAAATTGGCCCACACTCTCAAATAGACGTCAATATCATAGAGCTACCTTTATGTATAGAGCTCACAACAACTTGCTGCCTTCTTATGTTACTGAGATATTTGAACCACTAAAAAGAAATCAAACACATGTACTAAGACACCAACTTGACTATATTTTACCAGTTAAATCCAAATTTTATGAAAGATCTTGTATCTCAAAAACAATATCAGAATGGAATCTACTGCCATCTGATATAAAGAACTCATCTAGCTTAAGCATATTTAAATCAAGCCTTAAAAGAAATATTTTTAACGAAACTGTCATTAACTCATTAGAACTGTCCATCTCAAGAAACCAAGAAATTATATTTAACGGAGTACGATGTGATTTCATTTTCAAGGTTCACCTTTACTCGCATAACTTTACCAATGTAAATTCCCCCATCTGCTCATGTGGTATTAACAGTGAAACAACCAGCCATGTGATTTTTCGATGTAACTTGAGATTAACATTCTGGACTGAATTAGAAAACCAACTAAAAAATATGAATATACAATACTCCCGTAAATATAAGACACAACGTGATAAACTTTCTCTGATCCTCAATGGTGATAAAACATTAAGTAGAGCTGAGAATCTGATTGTTTTAAAGTGCAGTGCCATTTTCTTCGAGCGATGTGTAAATGTCTGAAACCCTCCACAAAACAACTTTTATCTTATTGTATCTCATTTATTTTAATCAAATATTATGGATTGAATACATTGTATATTGTAATTGTAGAACGTGGCTAATAATGCTAAAAGCACAGCCACTTACACTGTATTATTGTATGTATTCTTTGTACAAATGATTAATTTAAGAAAAAAAAAAAAAAAAAAAAAAAAACACAGGCAAATATTTTTCAGTAAAATTCCTGAAATATTACCAACATTTGACTTGAATAGTAAAGATTTATTTATAAATATAATTTCTTATGATAATATCATCTTCTAACGACATCTTGGTAAATTTATATACCATTCATTTAACAATTTAGAATAATCAGCAAAATTTGTGCATCACACTTTAAAATATTTTGCCTTTCTTGTATGCTTTCTGTAAATATATCAAATCATGTATATTTTAATAAAGATGTAGTTTTAGTAAGTAGCTTAGTAGCAGGTTGTAGTTTTAGTAAGTAGCTTAGTAGTAGATAGTAGTTTTAGTGAGTAGTTTATGACTAATGTAATCATGTTATGATACAATATGTCAATAAAAGTTATATATATGTGAATCGGAAATATAAGCCAACGTTCAAAAAGCCCCATGGTCGAAATAGCTCCCTGACGAAGTATCTCCATACCTCGAAGTTCGGCGCACCTCCCCTAGCAATGATGAGTTGTAAATTAGGCCTAGGGTGGCCTAGGAAGCTTAGGATATTTTTCATGAATTATTTTGTTTGTGTAAAACTTTTACATTGGTAGATCTACTCCTCTTGTGAAATCCTCCCCTGTGAAAGCACAGAAAGGCAGTCACTGAGTCATACATTACATTCAAAATTAAATGTGTGTAACATACATACCTGAATAATTAACACAAATTCAAATGTGATCACATTTTTAAACTTTGCAGCTTCCGGCCTCAGCTTCCGGTTACACTTTTCGTCCAGTGTTAGCCTCGTTTTAAGATGGATCAAGATCTGCCGAAAGTGCTAGTCTTCTTTTGTAGATTTTGTGTTCAGTAATCAGAGTATGACCTAGCTGCAACGTAAATAAAGATTGCTGAGGTATATTGGTATTTCTGTATTCTTTTATTGGTAACCCGACATGCATCATCCAAGTTTAGACTCAAATATAATCGTGATCATCTTGAAAATTTCAAATGACGAGCCCGGGAAAACTTTAGCCCCGGCCTAGGCTGAAGGCTACTTTTCTTTGTTGAGCTAATGGTAATACGCTCTTTTTTGAATTTATTTAGGCGAAATAAATAATAAACGTTTGGATTTAACTAACAAAAGAAAGAAAGCCTTGATGATGGCAAAAAATCTCTATAATCTCGTTATATGATTTTACTTATCCCGTACCAGGACTATAGTCCTGTTTACTCGAGTCTCTAGCTTACAGCTAGACGAAACTTCATTGATTTCGTATGTACTGTGCTACACGCACCTACACGCACCTAGAACTCATTTTTAATAAATTTTATAAATATTTTTAAGAATATTAATCATATTTAGGATGAAGCGTTGCTTGTCTGGATTTAGATATTTCAAAATTTCATTTCGGAGTTTGACACATGGTGAAATTTTCTCGCTGTAGCTAAAAATGGCTTCCGGTTCTGGACGTGAATAACATTTGAAATTATTCTCGCTTAAAGAAATCAAATATAACAATAGATTCAGACGGGGATGTGAGCTGATGTTCTTCAAATCTATACATAAAGGTATATTTCATATTATTATGCCATATTTACTGTGCGTGTGACACAATGATTTACAATATTTATAATACTAAGGCAGCTCAATCTTCCTCCTCAAAGCCGGAATATAGAGAAGGCTTTGGACCGAAGTAAAGTCCTGTAACCAGTGCATTCTTTTGCCTGTACGATTACAACTTGAGAGAATTATCTACGCCCCTTACACTTAAGATACCTACTTCAATAGATTCCTGGGTATTTTAGCATTCCTTTTGTGTAGTTGAATCCACAATTGTTTGGGTATATCGGCAGAATGGGAACATTTTTCTTTTTCATTGAGAGATATTCCGTCACTTTCCAAGATGGCAGTTGGATTTAAAAGGGGATTCCCCGTTTGACTGACCCGGAAGTGGCCCGGATAACCAATAAATCGAAGAATTTGACGGTTGAAATAAGTTAAATATTACACACAAATATTGCGATCAAAAACGAAAATTTCTTTGTTCTGCCGATAAACCCGGGCGATAAACCCAGACAATCGTGGATTCAACTACACTAAAAGAATGCTAAAATACCAAGGAATCTATTGAAATAGGTATCTAAGTGTAAGAAGCGTAGAAAATTCTCCCATGTTGTAATCGTACAGGCAAAAGAATAAGACGTTCGCAGGACTATAGTCCTGGTACGGGATAAGATTTTACCTGTAATTTCTGCATTGAAAAAGTCATTGGACATGTGCACACTTCAAATTTCGTGACATGTTTGTGTCATTTGGTTAAGGTCAGGGTGCATGATGGGAAATTTTCTGCATTCCTCAATTGAGTCACATGTTATTTTCAAAACAAGAATCACTCCTTCCCCACATTGTCTATATCTTCCAGTTTTCCACATTGAGTGCACTTATGTGCCTAGAAAAGACTTGTGAGAAGAATGTTTTGGTAAAGTGTATAAAAAACAAGAAAATTCAGTGAAAAAAATCAGAAAATTTTCAGAATTTTTTTTCACCGAATTTTTTCATTTTTTATACATTTTACAAAACAAACCTTCTCACAAGGCTTTTCTAGGCACATAAGTGCACTCTTTGTGCAAACTTGGAAGATGTAGACAATGTGGGGAAGGAGTTATTCTTGTTTGAAAAATAACATGTGACTCAATGTGAGGAATGCAGAAAATTTCCCAACATGCACCCTGTCCTCAAGGTGTTAAGGCAGCATTATAGCATTTGTGTTAAGGTACCGTGGTACTTAACTCTGAGGAAATGACAAAAACAGGAAGTGACATGCTTCATCAGGCCCGTACCCCCCCTCAAGCCAAGCTATTTTGGCCTAAATGCATGCTCAAAGTTATGTTGTGCCAGAAGCAATTTAAAAGATTAAAAAGGTATCAAATTTCGGCTGGCTAGGATTCTTTAACTGCCGCGTGACCTTACATGACCTTTTAATGTTAATGCTGACAGCTTAATGTTCAGGAGATAAGTTTAATATGGGAGCTATAGGATGCTTTGATCAACCACATAGCTTGACTTGGCCAAAAAATCTTTCAAAATCATGCAGTTTCTCACCATTCTGAGCACTTTTTAAGTGATTTTGGCCATTTTTGGACCAGAATTGTCATAAGTGAACCCCCCTGGAATTTTTCAAAAAGTGAACCCCCCTTGTAAATCCTGGCTACGGGCCTCCTGTTCATTTTTAGACATTTTTTGAACAAAGATAACAGACTTCTGTTTTGACCAGTCAGTTTAACTAATTTTACATATCATTTACATAGGATCACAATGTGCATGGTCAGAATCCCTCTGAAAATGTGACTGAAAAATAGCTAAAAGTAGCCCCTCAGAAAAGGTCACTGAACAGAATCTTTTGAATTTTTGAGAAAAAAGATTCTGTTTGGTGACCTTTCCATAGCTCTTACTTTTAGCTATTTTTCAGTCACATTTTCACAGGGCTGAAAAAGTTATTTCATCATGTTTAGGTTCATTCTGACCATGTACATTGTGATCCTGGTCATGTAAATGATATGTGGAACTAGTTAAATTGACTGGAGGTCAAAACAGAACTCTGTTATCTTAGTTCAAAAAATGTCTAAAAATGAAATATGTTTTGTCACTTCTTGTTTTTGTCATTTCCTGTTTAGCACCACGGTACACAAATGGCACTGCACTATAATGCTGCCTTTGATCACAAGTATTGGTTACACTATGTGCTACATGTATGTTATCACTTGTACTTTTCGCTAATACTTGTTTTGTTTTATTTCATGCCAGTGCGCATTTTTAATATCTGATTACACTGGTTATCAGGATTTGAAAGAGTCAATATCTCTATTTCTAGTAAATACTTGTTTTGTTTAAGAGTTACTATCTCTTTGTATTTAGTTTGTTGAATTCTATTAGTAGATAGTCAGAACCATTGAAGTCATTCTACTATTCCTTTATTAAAGGTGCAACTCATGGACCAGTATCAAAATGTATTCAAGTTTGGATATTTCATCAAGTCTAACATATATTTTTTATTGTCTCCAAAGGAACCCCCTGGATGAACATTATTCCAGCTGATATTCCTCTTGAAACGTGGTGGATCTTAAAAATCTATAAGTGGGACTCCCTTACACTTCTTAATGCTGAAATTGATAGTTTATTCATACATTTTAAGATTAAGATTAAGAAGATGTTAAGCCAAATGATAATAAATGCCCCGATAGCTCAGAAAAGGTAACATTTTTCGAAATTTCTCTCTACTGTCCTTGTTGCCCCTTTATGTGTTAAGACCAGTGATGGTTTTGTGGGGTGGGAGAGCTATAGCTGTTTTGTTTAAACCAATCAGATTGATATTTAACACAGGAATCATCTATTCAATTTATATTGGTTTTATAAGGGGAAAATCCTTGTTGCTAAATTCCCTTTCTTTTCTTCAAAGTATATCATACAGGGTGACCCAAAAAGCGATACTTTTTGCAAAATTACTTGTTCATTTTCCAGGTTTTCACAGACACTTGTAACAATTTGAAATAACTTACAAGGTGGTGAGAGATTGTTATGTTATAATGACTTCTATTGTTAAATTTTTATATAAAATTCTGGAAAACCCAGATAAAGTTCAGGGCATTAAGAATACATATGATACAAATTCATGTATGCTAATTAAGTAAGCATATTAATCCCAGCCTATGTGTAAGATTCTCTACCTCTGGCTATTATGTTGATTTTGACTTTTGAATTTATAGAAAATAACAAAGAAACAGTGTTCACAGTTCAAGAAGAGTAGAATGCCTCGCTACTTAGCATTAGACTTTGTGTCTCAGGTATTGTATAAACTTTAATGTTTGATTTTTTTTCTATTTCATCATTGAAACCATCACAAGGTGGAGATGATGCCATGGGATCCTCTCTGGAAAACCAATTTCTTGTGAAGCCCCTCAGCTACATGTATATCCAATTGGCTATGAACCTGTTCTTTATTTTATAAGCCATTACATAAGGCAAGTTCCAGAGGTTGCTTTAGAAATCAAGAATGGGGGAGCATAAAATGTATGCCTGTGTCAAAAAAATTTGAGACCCAATTTTAAAGTTTTAGGTCCAATTTCTTAAAGATAAGCAATACTTAATAAAGTAAAAGAAATACTGCCCAGTAATGTCAGTTTGTTATCTAAATTACTTAGTTTATGTGGGAAGGAGCAGCAGGAAGGAGCCCCAACCACAGTCTTTTTTTCTGGCCTACCATGTCTGCACCATGATTTTTTTTCTTTACGAACATCACTAGTATTTTATGTTCATCAATAGTATTTTACTGGATGGATAGAGATTCTTGACATTAGTTTATCAAATTCAGCCATTGTCTTGATATTTTTCCTAACATAAGAAACATCATTCATATTGCAAGATCAGTATTTTTGTGTTAATTTATACCAGATTCTTCAAGAGAGGAAGGCCATTCAGACCAGGATGCAACTGACAGTCCCACAACACCTTGAGAGTGTAGATGCCTATATACATAGAGGAGTGCTACCTGATCCTGCATACAGGAAACCTTGGCTTAGAGGTGAGAAATTGGGAGACCCCAGGCCTTGCGCTTAACTTTTTTTTTTATCAGGTAATTGTTTCACTACTTTGTGAATTTTCCAGGTACCTATTTCAGAGAAGCAGGTAGTGATAATTTTGATGAGAGTTATCTTTAGTCGTATGACTTAACAGCGCAATAATAACATATTACTTTGTAAATCTTTCCCAGATATTACTATGTTTTAAGGCAATTTGCATACACATTTCATTGACTGTTAAAGAATGAAGTCGACTATGATTGGTCTGCTTTCACGCAATCGTAAAAGTTGTGATTCGGCTCGAACACGAATTAACAAAGATCAGCTGATCAGCAAATCAATCGAAAATCTGTATATTTTCACATGGAGAGTAGTTAGTTGAGGTACTAGTGAAGTTACATGTAGCTAGTTTGAGGAATTTACAAGTACATGTAGTGTTTTTGGAAAACCAGGTAGCAAATCACTACCTTAGCAATGCTAATTTCGAGGCCTGGACCCTATTGAATTTATGAAAGATTAAGGTCATCTTTGACACAGGGTACTGGCTAAAAGGTCTGGAAAGGTTAGAAGCTTCCAAAACCATATATGACTTTCTCCTACCTATAAAAGATAAACAACATTATTGTCAACTTCACTGATGGTTGTTGGTCTATGGATGGTGTCTCACCTTTCTTGCAGGAAAACCACATGACAGGTTGATTTGAAATGTTCAGGGATGTTTCTTGCTGTGAATATCAATACTGATTAATTTGTGCTAGGTGAATATAAGGTGGCCATTTTTATTTCACATATTGTTCGCCGAATAAGCCCTGTTTTTAGTAAGCTGGAGTGAGGGTATTTAGTATTTTAATAAATCTTACTCATTTCATGTCTTTTTTTTCTGCTACACTGGTTTATTGATTATATGTGTATGGATATATGTCATTAATTGATCTACAGAATAACTATGTTTATAAGTTAATAAATATTGTTATAGTCTCCAACTTTTTTGTTGCCATTGTTTGGTGATTGGTGTTTGGTGTCTGTAACACCATTTGGCAGTTGTATCTGTAACAAATGGAAGGTGATAACCATTTGCATGTGCCTTGTGTATTTACCCAGTTGAATGTTGTATATTACAGTTAGACCAGACTTCCAGTATCTCCAAGAGGAAGGAGCTAATGAGCTGTCTGAACTACAACAGGGACACTTCAAAGATGGTCCAGAATATATGGATGGGTGAGTGACTGAGTTTTATGTGTCCATTAACAATTTACTGTCATATGAAAACTGCTACTCAGCTGAATCAAGGATCATATCTGTTTCATGCTGGTTGTTTACACCTTTGACCATAGCTCTTATATTATATTGCCTTTTGAGAAATAGTCTTTTTGCCCATGAGAGCCCAATGCCTTGTGCCATTTTCATTTTATTTTTCAACCTTAAATGATGGTAGCCTTGGTTCAGTATTGTACAGCAGTACCTGTAATCATATGCATGCATGTGTATTTCGCAAATGAAAAGTATTATGTATTCTTCATCTTTGTGTAATGGTGTGATGAAGAAATCAGAAGTATTCAGAAGTATTGTGAGGGAAGGGAGGGGACAAAACTGTTCCAGTATGTTAGTTACCAAATAGATGTTTCAGGGTCATGTTAAAGAGTCGCAATCTTGGTCTGGTGGAGATTGTTCCAAGCTCTAATCCATCCTCCCAGCAGTCATTCACTGATGATGTCATAGAAGATATCTTCCTCAATGCTGGGAAAATCCCCGGGGAAATGGAACTGTTTGAGAAAGTGGATTTACAAAATGTAAAGCAGCAGAGCGCATACAAAGGTTAGTCACTAAGGTTCGATGAAATGATAATGATTGATGATTAATGATAATGATTATACGAATATTGTCATTCCTCAGTTTTGCAATTCCAATTAGTGTTGTACGGGATGATATAATCTTGCATTAAGTCTCTGGACCCCCTATCTAGTTCTCTCAAGCTTATGGGGATGCTTTAGAGGGGAGGGGGGGGGGAACAAGGCCTCAGCAAGACTTAGGCTGACCAGAACACAGTTTGAAACCTAGTCAATCTAAGTTTACAGAAGTTTCAAAGTAATGCAACTCATTTACATTGTACATTTAAAATATAATCGTTTCTGGTTGTGATGACATGTTTTTTTCTCAGAAAATATCAATCATAATAAGATGTGCATCTGTGACTATACAATTTGTACCTACTTACGACACATGTATATCTACTGAATCCATTTTCGCAAGAAAACACGATGCAATATTACCAAATTAGGACTTTATTAAGTTGCGCATGACTTTCTTTAGATTCAGATGATACTAGTACGTGGTTAATAGAGGAGCCTTTGTGTACAGAGCCTCTGAGAATGACCCTAGATGCTCTCCCAAAGGTGGGCCACATGCTTGATAGGCTGAGACCTAAGATTGTAAAAGATCCTTTTGCAGACAACACTGGTGAAACATACACAGAGGCCTCAGTATTTAGGTAGCAAATAAATTGAAAGTTTATCATGGAGATCAGGCCCGTAGCCAGGATTTGCCAAGGGGGGGTTCAGTTTTCAAAAATTTCCAGGGGGGGTTCACATTTGACAATTTTGGCCCAAATATGGCTAAAATCACTTGAAAAGTGCTCAAAATGGTGAAAAACTGCATGATTTTGAAAGAATTTTTGGCCAGGGGGGGGTTCGCCCGAACCCTGCGAACCCCCCCTGGCTACGGGCCTGGAGATAATGTGAATGGGACTATCGAGCCCTTCAATGAACTTACGGTGAAAGTTTAAATCCATATATGTCTTTATAAATTGACACTCCCATGGTCATTTTTTATCTTGATTATTTCTTACAGTTAATTAATGAGGGTTGAGCAGAGTATTCTGAATAATTACTTAACAGTAGCCTTTTACAAAGTTGGTTAGTTGGAGACATTTGAGACAACCTTGACCATTCAATGTGTTGCTTCAGTTGTTTACTTCATCATAATCCCATATGCAACATTCTGATATTTTCTAGAACTGACAGATCAGATATATTCCACACAAAGGAGAGCTCTTCTAAACCTATAAGTGAGACACCACATTTGGACGTTAGAGTGGAAAATGGTTCCTCAGAGCTTAAAAGTGAGACAACACCCATAGGATCTTTCACAGATGAGCTGTTTGTCAAAGAGAAAATCTTCAAATCTGAGGTAAACAAATTTATAGTTCTGTTTTTATCGTTGTTTTATTTATTTACATGTACATGATGTATTTCAAAGTAACTCCAAAAACAATTTTTATATTCAGCATGTAACAAATAAGGATTGGTTCGTTACTATTTCTCTGACCATAAAACCACTTTTGATACGCCGAAAAGGTGTTCCTCTTGGTAGCTGTTCCATTTACATTCGTTCATTTAACTTGAAATCACTTGGTCTTTGGACACTGAAAATTGTTCCACTAACACTGGTGTTGCATTCTTAGAGGTGTTCCACTTTACAGGTTTCACTGTATATTGAATTTTCATCAAACTGTCAAGGAACTGATCAAAATAATGCCACCCATTGCCTTTCACTTAATACTATTGTCTCACCACAAGATTTGAAAATGTCATTTCATTGAACATATTTCTCAGTTTAAGTTCTATCATTGATAGCATTATTACTAAAATGAAAGTACAAAATGCACTGGAATGATTTCAAAGCACACTACATTTGTTATACTTTTACTTTTTTGTGAATGAAGCGACAATGATAATCAATTGGACAACAGAGATCTTGGGTGATATTTCATTTATCCATCAATACTTTGCCTACAAGAGCAATAGCAATAAGATACAATTGCCCAGTTTCAATATAACTTGCCTTGTTGCTGGTAGTATGTCCTGTTGTAGTAGCATTCTCTTGCTGGTCTTCATCTTTATCAGTATTCGCCACCTCTGTGGAGGTATCATCCTTAGAAAGGTCATCCATTGGAAGGTCATCAGTGGTAGGGTCATCAATGAGTACGCTTGAGGTGCTAATCTCAAACGAGTAAGGACTAACAGGTGTTTCTATGACAGTATCATTTTCAGGCAGCGTGTATTCTATAACCCCCGCATCAACACATCCCTCTATCACTGTTGTAATGTTAGCCATGTAGTCATTCATCTTTTCAATGCTTGTGTCTTGGGGTAGCATGATTTGAACAGTTACGTTGGTGTGATTTGCCACACGCTCATGCTTTAATGGACCATACAATGGTAAAACTAATAGTACATTGAAGTCTTTTAAGTCACCTATTAATGTAACAAAGATTTTAACCAGTAAATCTTTTAATCGACACTCTTCTCCAACCAGCTTGTAATGTGTAGCACAGGCAGTGTATTTGCACTTGTTTGTTAAGATATTACACCAAAACCTTATCTCTCCCATATCATACACATTTGGAGACACATAGAATTCAAATTTAACATTGTCTGGAGACTCCTTCTTATCGAGATTTGTAGGATTGTAATACATGAACAGGTTGTAGTTATATTGTCCCTTGGTAAGGTCCAAGTGATCAGTTTGAGAATCGTATTTTATACCACATTTTATACCTGCCTGAGTTTTGTTAATAAGGCTAGGGTTGCAACGGGCACAGTACTCATTCTTGAAGTTGAGTGTTTTTGTAGAAACTATCTGCTGATAACCTTTGTTACATAGTTCAACTGCAGTTGGATCTGTACACCCTTCCTCGCATTCATTGATTGCTTCTCCTGCACAGTATCTGACATTGAAACTATCATCCCAGATATTGGGGAATCTATACAATGTACAAAAAGACATTTTGGCATCAAGGATTGACTCAATGCTGTTCATGTTCATGCTATTAATCATTAATTCTGAGCTGCAGATCCCATAGGTGTCCCAGAAACTAATTGAGGTGACGCCAGAACACAAGGCACAGTAAATGTTCTTATAGTAGATGTCATTATTCCTGTCATAAGCAGGGATTCTTGAGATTGGATCAGTAGCATTGCTTTTACACTTCTCGATAACAGCTGTATTGGTGTAGCCTGCAGCGCAGTAGGATATAACCCATGAATCAAAATTTTCCATTTTGATACATGTAGCCTCGAAGTTGTCATCTTTCACTGCTTTAGCTTGGATGACTTCAGCTGGGCATTCAGTGATAAAGTCACTGCAGCAGTCCTTATAATTAACACAGTGTTTGTCACATGAACATGCAGGCAAATCTGAAGAAAACATGGGTTCTGGTAAGGACTCTCCACACCGGTTTATACATGTACCTGTTGCAGTGCATGACTCAGAAGTTATATTCTGATCTAGTGTACAGGATCGAGTTGTGTTTTGTTTCCAGTTTGCTTGATTATCATTACTTCTGAGGCTCTCAGAGGACACTATTCCCTGTGATTGTTCTATAACGTCACACAGCACAATTAGACCATAAAGAACAGCGATTTTTCTATTTTGAACCATTTTGAATCAAGTTGTGTGATTGTTTTGTTGTTGTCTTGATAAGTTGTTTGTTGTCTTGATTTGTTGTTTATTGTCTTGCTTAGTTGTTTGTTGAATCTTAAATCAAATGTGGAAATTAGACAGTTATTAAAACACATGTGAATTGATTCACTGAAATTTTTTACAGGGTGATACAAAAATGTAAATTTTTTTCTCATTTATTGTGAATTATTTTTATTTCTCTATGTGATATTGAATACGAGGAACAGAGCAGCAATGCCTTTGTGATTCAGAAAATTATTGTTCTTTTCCTGGAAATGCTCATGCTCATGCAGAATAAGCCAATGCAAAAACATTCAAAATGAATTTCCAGAATGCATATTTTCTGTCTATTTTTTATATTTAAAATTTATTTTCATATCACTTTAAAATATTACAATTACAATGCAATGTTTCTTTTATCAAGTTCTATTTTAAAATTATGTAAAATATTATTATTTTGGTACAATTCCAACTTTTGCTTGTGGATTGTCCACTTAGCAATACTTATTACTTCATTAAGATTTCTAAAATGCCTTCATACATATTTCCCACTTTTATAGAATACCCTGTAATTTTGTATGATGAAATAATAATCAAGATGATTTGTTAGTCATTTTAATCTTGGTGATTGGAAACTAGATAATATGTCACTCTATATCGCACGCATTTCTCCAATGATTACTACACAAGAAAATTTATGAAAACTCCAGTACAATTGTAATGTATAATTGGAAAAAGTTTCAAAATGAGATGGTCACATTTTTAGTGTAATTGAATTCCATTAAAATGTTATTTGATAATATATTTCTAAAATTTGATTTTACAAACATACCTGGTATTTGGCTATCTAGTTTTTGCAATCTTCACCTGATTTCTCCACTTACTAACAATGGATACCAAGGATGGATATGATTTTCTTTCCTTCCATTTTTCTTAAGAAATATCTACCCGTGGTCCTTGTGTCTGTTGCAGTAATGATTTACTCCTAATTTTGTCAGTTGTTACCAACATTATAAGTATCTGTGTAATATGGAGCTGCGCACACCCATGCTTGAATAAGTGTCATTTCAGATCTCAATTATAATATCGCATTCACTATTTCAAAATTACATAGATTGTGTATTTCTATTAGTAATAGGTTTGATTGTTGCTATGATTATCATGTTTTCCTTTTAATTTTCAAATCAATTACTATTATATCAATTGCTGCAGATAATCAAATTCTCTAATTCATGCAATTATAAGTCTCCATAATCTCAATCATATCTCATAACACCAGTGGTTAAATATTGTGATTATTATTACTTAATAAGCAATCTCTGCTGTTTCTGCTATGTTGTTATTGTTAAGTATACTGAAATGATTTCTTTTCCATGATGGGTGAAAATGACTCTTGTTATTAAACATTCGATACCAATTAATTAATCAAATAGCAATGATAAGACAATAACATGTTAGAATATATCCTGTAGATTTACATATACACTGTACATTAGTGAAACCCTTCGAAAAATATACAATCTTTAATTTGCCTTCTTTTAGCTTCTTGTTCCATATATTTTCGAATATATTCAGCAATATTAAGCATTCTAGAAGCGTATTTTGGTATTTATACTGAATTGTGTATTAAATAACTTTAGATGCACATATTTAAAGGATTTAGAGATAGAGGAGATAGTAATGTCATCAACTGTCTCCATGGCAACAATAAGAATACCAGATGCGGAGGCTGAGCTTCCTCTTCGTGATCTTGAAGTGATTGAGGCCGATGAGGGATGCCCTCAAAAACCAAGCCAGGGTACATGTTGTGTTGATACATGTAGTGTAAATCTGTTGTCATTGTTTTTGTTGATTTATTGTTCCTTAATATGTTACAGTGTAAGTTTATCTAGCCTGTTTCATTTTTGATTTGCATCTCAAATTTATAGAGGTTCTGAATTGTGTCATATTTTGATATTGTTTATCTCAATGAATTTTCCATTTTAGGTACTTCCCAGGGTGATCTCTTTACATTTATTGAACCATATCAAATCACTCTCAGTTGCTCCCACCTCTCCAGCCTCATTCTATAATAGCTCATAAGCAAACAGCTTCAACCTAAAATCTTAGAAATAGCAGAAAATATATGAAAAGATTGAAGATTTTGACACCTTTGTTTTTTGAAAATATATGTATTTTGTAGGACAAAATTGTTCTTTATGGTACAAAAAGCACACTATTTCATCTAGTTATTTATATTATACATTCTAGGTTTTTATTTAAATGTGTATGATATAGATGCCAATCTATACAATATAGGCATTGACTTGTACAATATAGTAATCAACTTCTACATTCCGAGCAACATGCATATTTTCAAAACTTTTGTCACTGCAAAAATGACAGAAATCCTTTTAATTTTTGCAAAATTTGATTTCAGATTTTGAAGAACTTGTGTCACAGTCTAGTAAAGGTGTTTGTGAAACTGAAAATCTTTCTGATGTGTCTGATCATTCTAGCAGTCCAGGAGATCAAGTAAACTTTTCAAAATTAAACAATCAAGGTTAGTATGCACTTTTATACACTTTTTATTATCTTTCAAATAACATTTTGAAAGTGGATTGCATATGGGTTATACCATGAGCTTTCAACTAATTGAAAGTCCATGGTTATATAATATGATTTGCTGCAATTTTTAAGGATTAAAGTACCCATTTATCGATAGATTTATAGATACCTTCAGTCATTGTCTAATGAATGATCAGGATTATATTGTTTCATTTATTTGAGACAATTCAATCACAACTCATGTTCTGAACTCCTACCTTATATCATGTAATGATTATTGTGGAAATCTGGTTTCATATTCTAACACAAATCCTTTGAATAATCCCAAAACATTATCCAGATTTAAAGCATGAACCTTTTCTTATAAGCCTGGCATTTGTGATTGCAGGTATGATGGAGGACACAGACATACTAAAGTCTAACCTACTGGAGTCCCCAGCAGAGAATGATCCTCTCATTAAGGCTGAATCTCCAACTTTACTCAAACTACAACCATTGGACATTTCCCCCAGTTCTCTTGAGTAAGTGGACTCATTGCATGCAGGCTCATCAATTTGAAGTTGATCATGAATTGTTATTTTTTCTTATCTGTATTTAATGAGGGAGAAAATTTTATTTTCGGAAAATCATCATGATATTAATTTGTAAAACCATAGATATGCTATAAATATTAAATAGTGCCTTCTGAATAGAAGAAAAGATGAAAAAGTTATGACGGAGTGCTGCTTATTTGCCGGAGATTCTATTTTTTTAGTATAAATTGGCGTCATGTATTTCTGATTGCAGTAACTATCTCAAAGAACATGAAAAGAATAATCTGGTTGAGAAATTATGGCGTGAAGAGAAGTACTTTAGTGACATCATTGCATTGAGACTTCAAGGTAATTAATTAATACTTCAAATATGAAGCCCCCATAGAATCAGATCTTCACGTAGCACTCCGGAGCTATGTCAGGCCCAAGAGAGACACCACAACATAGTTTTCATACTATAAAAACTTACTAACATGATACACACTTTTTCAGAACCTGATATCAAATATGAAGCCCCCATAGAATCAGATCTTCCCGTAGCACTGGCTAGGAGCTATGTCAGGCCCAAGAGAGACACCACTGGCTGGAACATTGAACTAGATATGTGCTGGGACCCTATGTCTTACTCAACTAAGCACATGGCTTTTTGTAGCAAGATAGAGACATGGGAGATAGAAAGAGACTCTTCAGATCAAATTATTAAAATTGAAGAGTTCAAGAAGCACACATTTGCCATACTGCATAGTGAGTATGATGCTGCTGTTAACATGTTTCAAAACATTTAATAAAAAGGATTGCAATTAAATACTTCAACCTTCACTTGCTTCTTATGTAGAATTGTATGATTTCATGTAGGGGCTAATGTACAAATCTTTCCACGGATGGGGATTTTAGAGAGCTAAAGATATGTCAAACTTATATGTGAATTTTACGTTTAATTATTGCCTCCATTTTCATTTGGTAGTCAGCATTTGACATCTACATGTATATCTTGCTTTATTGCAAATGATATGCTTAAAATTGCACAAACTTCACTTATCATTTATACTTGACATGACATTAGGTGATGATAAGACAACATTGCCTGGTGTACCTGGTATTGCAACTATAATGAAGCCTAGGAATGCACTGGACCATGCATGGCAGTCTTTAAAGTCTCTACAATCCACCAGCCAGCTCACCAATACAACCACCCAGCATGTCAATACTGCCAGCCACCATATCAATACAGGTAGAAACTAAGAATACATGCTTTTGCAGTAAAACCTGTCTAATCTGAACACTACTCTACAAGTCTTAGTGGCATTAAGGTGTGCATGTACTATTATCGTATGATCTGTAAAATTAACCCCTCTCGATATTATCTGTCTCGATATTCTGTATTGGCACTCGACTTCATCTCGATCTAATACGGAATTTCTTGACTAGAATAGATCCTGTATTGTTCTTCAAATCATACAATAACTTATAGTATTACCTCTTCACACATATCTGCTTTGGGCATAACTTGTCAATTTTTCTCAATAAATCCATTACATTTTAGCAATATCCAATCAGGCTGAAGTTGAGAAGCAATCCAAGTCTCTTGAGAAATCAGATTTGAATCCAAAACAACAGCAGACTAAACAGATCAGCTCCAATATTAAGATATCTGGAAATCCCTTGGATGATTTCTTAATGTTGAGAACAGGCATTGTACACAGGTCAGTCAGCGTGAGACCTAGACCAGAGGGCAGTGCATCTACACCAGGGAGTATGGCTCCAAGGTCATTAAGTACATCAGAGAGGGCGCATAGTAAGATGGCGCCAGTTGCAGCAGTTCAGCCTGCACTGAGTCAAAGTAAGTCAAAATTTCCAGAAAATTTAACTTATTATTATACACCATTCTGTTAATATCATAAAACAGAATGAAATGTCCATCAACTGTATCAACTGATCATTCACCATTCTGATACTCATAGCATCTCTCTCTGTTGCATCGCAGAAGGATAGAGATGGAGAGGGTGTGGCTTACCACGATGATCATTCACTAACATGTACGTGTTGCATGTTAATCTCTTCAGCTTCTCAGGGACGTTTGGATATAACATGGATTGTATAAATATAATATAATCGAGAGTTCATATGAAAGTATCATACACAAATTCATCATGTCTTACAAAATCTGATTATTTCATGTATTTTATTACATTAGACCCACAACAGATGGCTTTGAACAGCAAGCCTGATGCATCTTGCAAACAACATATTACAGCTGATAATGAAGGGACTACAACAATGAAACAAACAACTACAACTGGGAAACAACAAAACAACAAACTTGAAGATCTGCGTCCTTGTAGACCAGCTATGACCAAGAAGAAATCAAAGAGCAAGATTATTGATGTTGAATTGACAGGTGTGTATTATTGCCTCTCAATCTGAACCTATGGAATCACACACTTGCCTCTATGTCCATCTTCTACAACTTTCATGTGAATTCATTTGTTCCAACCCAGTCCTCATATCCATTTTGGTGATTTACACCATTGGTCACAGCTCCTACCTTTGTTTTGTTTTACTCAAATCAGCTTTTTTATGTCACAACCAGAAGTTGTTCGGCGATCGGTGTTGCATTTTTCAAAAAAGTTCCAAGAGTTAAAAAAGTAAAATGAAAATACTATTCCTCTAAAATTTAATTTCATAATTGTTAAAATCGTATTAGTCATGAAAACACATTAGTTCCTTTTGAATCTTGATGTGGAATGTGATATTGTTACTTGAAATGAAACTAAATGCCAGCTAATTTTCAGGTATCAGATTTGTTATTCTACTTATTACGTAATTCCTACTATAATTTTTGTTATACTTGTAATTGTAATTCTTGTAATTTTTTATTTTAGATGTACTTCATGAGGTTGTCACTCACTTGGAGGATTTGGGTAAACCTATACTCTCCAATCTACACCTACATGGTCTCACATCAAAATCAACTCAACTAACCAGTTTTACACCTGACATGACACGATTCCTTGTTAAGCAGTATGAGAAGCAACAGAATCTTGGAAAAGGTTTGTGGTTGACTGTGAAGAGGTTATTTATGTATAAAGAAACTAGCTTTAGGTCAGTAGAAATCGGGGCTTTACCCATGTCAAGTCATTCATTCACATGTACAGGCTAAATTGATAGCCTAAATAAAGTTTACATGTACATACTATTTTTGTACATTTTTTATCATGTTGGAAGACCACTGATCTTATCTTTTTTTTCCTCAAGTGGGTGCAAGGTTCAGAATCTTTTTTCTAATTTCCAAGTGGAAATGTTCTCTTATCATTATCTTTTGATTTAAAGTGGTTTAGATTGATAAATTCTTAAAAACCTCCCTTTGTTTTGATCTTCTAGCTAAATCAATGGAGTGCTACAAAAATGTGATTGCTCTCCATGTTCTGGTAAGTGGAGTTGATGTGTTGGAGCATGGCAGTCTGCAAGCTGCAACTTCACATATGGCAACTCTCCTGGACAAACACATTCACACAATAGGAGGTAAGCATTTCATTATGCAGAGAGACTAAGGATATAAATATTGTATTCTCCTCACCCATACCAACATATAGAAGATATCCTATGATTTATAATTATAAGTGATATGATTTTCTTTCCATGAATGGAGAAGTTGTATGATTCAATATTTTGTAGGAAGCTTGGAGAATGTTAGAGAGTATATGTTGAAGAGCCAGTACTTGTTCAAACATAAACACCTGCACCATCCCAAACTCACAGAGGTCTCTAGACAGATGAAGCAGTGGTTCATCAATATGAAATTGAAGTCTCCAGAACATGATCCCAAGGTACTACTTTCAAGTAATTTGGGAGTCACTCAAGTTCAGAATTCAGAACTCAATTGCACTGTTACTGTGACATCATTATATCCATGGTTACAATTGATTTAGGGAGTCATTATGAGTCATTCACATAAACTTTTTAAAAGTTGAGAATCCCTAACTAAATCATTCTCTTACTATGACAGTGACATATTTTTGTACCATATGCTCCAAGTAGGGATTTGGACTTGATTTGCATGGAAATTAGATTTTATCTTGGTCAAATATCAAAATTATGGTCAAATCAATTTTTGAAGTTCCTAAAGTTTGACCTTGTGCTTCAACACAATCTACAGGTGCCAGACATGAGATTTCATTGACCTTTAGTGACTGTCAAGAGGTAAAATTTTTGATTGCTAAAATTCTTTATTATTCCACCAATAATATGGTCACTTAATTCAAAATGGCCACCATTTTTTGTAAAAATTGTAATTTTTGATATCTCAAATACTAGTCCATGGATTTGGTTAAGATTTTATATGCTGATGCCTGGGGCAAAGGAACTTTGCTGACGAAAATATTTTCAAGATGGCGGTTAAATTTCAAAATGGCCACAATTTTTCATAAAAACAAAATGGCCACCATTTTTGTCTCTCAAAATTCACTTTTGGACCATTTAGTAGAAAGCCTTTGTCAATAAGATTCTCGTTTTAAGTTATTATTTTTGTTTATCATCAATACCAAAACCCTTCTATGACTCCCGGTTCAAAAGCTTGCCTATTTTCAAAATGGCCACCATTTTTTGTCGCACAAAATTCACTTTTAAATCATTTGCTAGGTTTATAAATGATTTCATGTGTGTCTGTCAACAATATGCTGAATGTTTTAAAACCTCTGTTGATGGGATTCCTGTTAGTTATTTTTGTTCAACATCGATACAGAAAACACATTATTGTCAGCCATTTTTGGATTTTCAGTCGGAAGATCTTGTCTATGAAGTTAAAATTTTTCAACAGTTTAGTAGGGATGTAAGCTAGCACCCAAAAATGTATTAGTTCGTGAACAAATTGAAATTACTTGTTTCTTATGTATTTTTATGTGATACTTCAGAAAATGTTTGTCTGACGTGCCATATCCGGGGCGAAAGTTGTCAAATTGGTGTTTTCGACCCTAAAATGGAAAATTATAGGGGGTACTTTATCATCACTGAATAAATCATTTAGTTGGTCTTCAGTCATCATAATAATTTTATGGGGAGTTGATTGGATCATGCTGAGGTAGTATGTGAAGTCTCAATGCTCTGTCACTCATGGTTGCCATGGAAACCACACTTTTCATTGAAAAATCCTTAATTTTGGCAAAACCTGTACAGGTACATAATATAGAATGTGGATTTTTTTTCAAATCAACAGATATAAGAATATTTTAGCACACCCAAAATTGCCAGGGAAGTTCAAGCATTTGTTTAAGCATAAAGGATATTGCAATTTATATAATTGGTAAGTGTCTAAGACCATACTACTACATAAGTGATCAAAAGTGGGCGTCGCCCCCATAATAGTAAATGATTACCATTCTCTGAAAAGACAGAGTTTAACTTGACTTTTGAGATACATTTGTATTGAAGTTCTTTGAATATACTTAATATCATGCATTTCTGGAAAATAATGTACATCTAAGTGTAAATTTTGTTGCATGGGGAGCGGGGGGGGGGGGGGGGGGGGGAGGTGGTAGTAACAGAATTTGGATGGGGCAGAGCTAATCAGCCTTAGTATAATTCTCATTTATATAGTTCTGGATTTTCAAAGGTTACATCTTCTGGGTCTCTTTCATTTTCATTTCAATATGTAGGTACTTATTACCATTCTCTATAAATACAGGGTTAAGGTAGAATTTTCTTGATATATATATATTTATCATTTATACTTCTTTGATGATACTTAATATCAACCATTTCAGGTAAATAATGTACATCTCACTGGTGTCAGTTGAGAAGATATTTATAGTTTTCATTGACTTAAACTACTTTATAGTTGATGTAATACTTTGATATTTGAACTAAACCAGGCTTATATGGCATATACCATCGCTTGATACTGACCAGTGACACCTGAGTTTTATAGTTATTGCATGAGAGGCAAGTTGGGAGAGGGGGGGGGGGCTAGTAATAGAAACAGGAAGGGGGCAGCGCTAATCAGCTTCAGGTATAAATCTCATAATACTTCGTTCTGGATTTACTAAGGAACATGTACATCTTCTAGGTCTTCTTCATATTCATCTCAATATATAGGACATTACAATAAACAAGATAGGTAAGTGTCCAAGACCAAACAATTACATAAGTGATCAAAAGTGGGAATCGCCCCAACAAGAGGATATGGTTCATTCTCTACAAACAGAGGTCAACTTGAGTTTTAAGATCATCCAGTGATCTCCCCAGGATTTCTTGTCAGGTGGGTACAAAATTTTCATTTTCACAATTCAGACCAAAATTGGTCAAAATATGCCATCTTTTCATGATTTTCTCACTTTCAAGTGGGTGCATATGGATTTTCAGGTGGGTGCAAACCTATTTTCAAAATCTCAGGTGGGTGCTGTGCCCACTTGCTGTAATGCTTGGAAGATCACTGTCATCTATACGTCATCTATACTTCTATTATTTAAGAAATAGAGACTGAAGAGCAGGTGTTATATTGACAAATACACTCCACATGGCTAGGCAAGGGAGTGAGGGGTTCGAAAGCTTTTGTACCTAGCCCTAAGGGGTCATTGTCAATATCACGCCTGCTCTGAGGTATATATTACAATTCAAACATGAAACAGCCCTCTTGATGTCACACATTACTCGAATTACCAAGGGTAGTGTTGACGATTATACCCCGGGTAAAATGTTGACTTTGTTCACAGTTTATAGAAGGGGTGAATACAGTCATGTTCAAATATAATTTATATAAAGCATTTCTCATAAATACGTTTAGTAGTATAGTTTTTACGTGGGGTGAGGGTGGAGAAGTGGTTACAGACCTGGGAGGGAGCTCTACTCCCTCCCAATTATTCTGTTACCACTCCCATCTAGGGTCTGGCATAATATATGCAGCCTTCATACCTTCGCTAGATGAAGTCCCATGCTTTGAAGGGGCAGGATAGCACATTTTAAAAAGATGGAGCACCATATTGTGTCCCAGCTGAATGACTCTCAAATCTGCAAGTGTTTAGTGGTATTTTCTCTTAAGAGATTGTTGATATTCAATATCATGCGATAAATCAAAAGAATGAAAATAATCAGACTATGAGAAGGCTCATCTATAGTTGTTATTGTATTGCCATCACTAGACATTCTGATTCTCATAGCATCTTTCTGTCTCACCTGAAGGGCTGGGAAGAAATAAAATGTCATGGTTTATTATGATGATCACTAGAAATGATATGGCATTTCCCACCTGCTATACAGTAGACTTTTTCTTGGCATATTCTGGTCTTTATCATTCAATTAAGTGTAACTGGTATAATTGCTTCTTGTTTGCATCCTTATTCATGAACTCATTCCAATCTTAAGGGACTCGTGTATTTCTACATTTGATACGGTGATGTGCCACCACCCTCTTCTTCTCCTATCAGGTTCGTTTATAGAATTTTGGATTTAATTGTCACATAATCACTCTGCTGTTAGAAGTATCTTGAAAAACATGTATTTTCTGCCAGCTCCAGAAACAAAACAAGCCCATCAGAGAATCCATGAAATTTAGTAATTTTCAATCCATCTCATGTGCATTTTAAAGATTGCATATCTTTCATTTCATTTATTTATTCCTTCAATCAATGTATTAGGATAAGCACAGAATACAGCAAAGTGTAGTGCTGCCGTGCTGGACAAACAAAAGAAGACTGATTAATATAAAAAACATTTATGTTAAGCCACAATGTCTTACACCAGCAAAACCAGATAAACCAATTGAAATAGAAGTTTAGACCCCATACTAAAACAATCAAATACTATGAAAGAACCGACATCAGTCTTCTTCCACCTTGTCAAGAGCTTACTACAAAGCACTTATCGTGCATATGTCCCATATTGTAAACCCTGACATTCCAGCAGAAGATGGACATGGATGGAAACTGAATGACTCCACCATTGCATTGGGTATTGACTGGTATTCTCATACAAATGATTGTTGATATAGCACCAGGAGATGAATCAGAAAGACTCCAGAAGATGTATCTTATGAAATCCAGAACTCTGAAGATGAAATTGATACTAAATGCTGACTTGTTCCCCCCACACCTCCAAATTCTGTTACTACCCCCTCCCATATAATAATAACTATATACAGTATATTGAGATAACTAAGAAGACCCAGAAAATACTCTATGAAGAAGTCCAAAAGAAAGGATTTATACTTAAGGCTGATTTACTCTGCCCCCTCCCAATTCTGTTACTAACCCCACCCCTCCTCATGCAATAACCATTGCTCTGAGTTGTACATTATTTACCAGAAAATATAAAGTGTAATCAAAGAAGTCCAATGTAAATGTATCTCAAGTCAAGTTAAACTCTGTTTTTATAGAGAATAGCAATCATCTACTAGTATGGGAGCGACGCCCACTTTTGATTACTTGTGTAATTGTATGTTCTTTGACACTGACCAATCATGTAAGTTGTAATATGAAGAAGACCCAGAAGATGTACCCCATGAAATCCAGATATATGTAGATGAGATTTATACTTAAGGCTGATTAGCTCTGCCTCCGCCCAATTCTTTTACTAGCCCCCATCTGTACACCCCCCCCCCCCCATGCAATAACTATGACACTTAGATGTACATTATTTACCCAAAAAATGCTTGATATAAAATATAATCAAATAAGTCTAGTGTAAATGTATCTCAAAAGTCAAGTTAAACTCTGATTTTTTTTATAGAGTATAGCAATCATCTACTTTTATGGGGCGACGCCCACTTTTGATCACTCATGTAATTGTATGTTCTTTGACACTGACCAATCATGTAAATTGCAATATCCTTTATATTTAAACAAATGTTTGAACTGTACTGGTTATTTTGAGTGTGCTAAAATGTGCTGATATGTATTGATTCGAAATATAATCCATATTCTACATGATGTACATGTTCAGGTTTTGCAAAATTAAGGATATTTTGAACGAAAATTGTGGTTTCCATGACAACCATGAGTGACAGAGCATTGAAATTTATCATACTACCTCAGCATGATCCAATCAACTCCCCATAAAATTATTATGATGATTGAAGACTAACAGAATGATTTATTCAGTGATGATAAAGTACCCCCTGTAATTTTCCATTTTAGGGTCGAAAACCCCATTTTGACAATTTTCGCCCCGGATATGGCGCGTCAGACAAAAATTTTCTGAAGCATCACATAAAAATACATAAGAAACAAGTAATTTCAATTTGTTCACGAACTAATACATTTTTGGGTGCTAGCTTACTACCTATAGGTTTGGGTCATTTTGGGTAAGTTTGGATTTTGAGTCCAGAAAACTAGTAACACAACATCATGTAGCCAAGTTACCTACTGTACTATTTTTCTAGTATTTGTATAATAATCCCAAGAGAGACAAAGTAGTTACAATAATGTGTCTCTCTAGGTTAGAAAAAACGATTTATAAAAGATAAGAAAAAGAAAAAACAACACATAAAAAACAAAACCATGTTGATCTCGTTATTTTGAATGATTTGTTGTTCAGTCTTGCTTGTGTCAAATCCGGGTTCCACAGTTCTCAATGAATCAAAAATTTGTGATTTCCTGAGTATAATGTCATCGGTGCATTCTTTTGAGAGTTTGCGGAAATCAGGGTAGCTGTAAAGCTTTGTCATTGGGATTCTGTGGACAGACTTCATATTTTTCTCTCTTTCTTCAATCAGATTGTATTCATCTGCAAGATACAGGTTCTGAAAACTGGCACTGCAGCCAAGGAGAAATTTTTCACATTTTCTGGTCAGATGTTCCATCTGGTATTCCCTCGCAAACTCCAATAGTGGTTCAACAGTAGACTCTGAAAAATAAGTCAAAAATCTTTTTTGGTAGGATCAGATTATTGACACACTTATATGAGTACATGTATATCATTTGGTGCTCTTATTCAAAATTTTCATTCCATCTGTTATTTATTTTGTGTCAATTGCTATATTTATATTACAACCTCAGTCTTATGAAACATCAGTGTCCATAAAATAGATACTGTTACATACATTGTTAGGATGGACATATAAATTAATTTGAAGGTGTACATATGAATCTAAACCCGGCTATATAACTATATGCATCTGCACTCGTAGAATATTAAGTACCCAGAAGTAATTATCCCATCGAACGAAGATCATTTTATTGCCGATTTTACAGTAATTTAGGTACAATATATAAAACTGTAGTAGCAATGTGTTTTCAAGTAAAAAAAGTATAAAGGACATTACCTTAGAAGCTAAAAATGTAGGTGTTTAAGAAGCGCATGGCTGCCAACTTGAAAAATGGCAGCTTTTACACGCTATTTTACAATTTTTGCTGTAACTTGAAAAGTAGTAGAATGATTTTGTTCATATTTTATATGTGAATACTTATAAGCATGGCACACTGTTTCTTGACACTTTGACTAGAAGGTGGCCATTTAAAAAATAGCTACCATTTTTGTGTGTTATTTTACTTAATAAAATGATCTTAGTTCGATGGGATAATCACTTCTTGGTACTTATATTCTACGCCATTTTTATGTGTTATTTTACGTTTTTTAGTATCACTCAAAAAATAATTTTGTAAAATGGCTGCCATTTATATGTACGTGTGTGGGATTTTGTTGAAATTTTATATGTGCCTACTTAGAAGTATATTACAGGTTGTACCAAAAAAACTTCACCCACCTCACAATGAATATTTTTTTAACCAAAAAAGTTTGATAAAAGAAAGTTTGCACAATTAAAGTTAGTCCAATGTTCTTCAAGTTGATATTTAAGTTTCACCACTAATAGCAATTGTATGGCCAATTCACCAGTCACTCAAATAATGTACTCGAAAATGGGCATTGCATCTCTGAAGACAGACTTGCAAACGCTTAGCAAAGTTGGTGTAGCGATGAAGCGCATTTTCTGTTGAATGGTCACATTAATAGCAAGAACTATGTTTTTGGGGTGACTATCCTCCTCTTGAAGTGGCTCAGAGACCACTTCATTGTGCAAGATGCACTGTTTGGTGTGCTTTGAGTAACCATGGTGTCATTGGGCCGTACTTATTGAAAGTTAGGAAGGGAAGTGTAACCATATACACAGAGCAGTTGTGTTTTGAGAGATTTGGAAGGCTCTGCAAAGAAGGAATGATGTCGATAAGACATCACAATGGTCTCAATACGATAGAGCTACACCACACACCACACACATCCAACAGGATCAACTCATCGGTCATAGAGCAGATAACAACCGGGCACCCCCTCCCCAGACCTGAGCCCTCCAGATTTTGATCTGTGGGAGTTCCTTAACCTCTTGAATCCCAGGCTCTAAAATTGGCATGAAACCAGAGAATTTTTCATTTTTTGCCACCTTTTGACATTTTATTACATACCTATACAACTTTAGATGCTCAGCTTAGTAAAATTGGATGGCAGAGATCATTTCTACGCGTTTTAAAACAATTTTTGTGTAAATTGGATGAAAATTGTTCAAATGAGAGCAATTTTTGTGAAAAATTTTGTGACGGATTTTCTCGTCCCTCTGGGCACCAGTCTTATTTCATTTGTGACGGATATATCCGTCACTCTGGGTATTCAAGAGGTTAAGGATATTGAGTATGCAAACAACCCTCAAACTATTGCAGAGCTGAAACAAGATAACACAAAAGATAAGAGCCATATATCCAGAAATTAGTGCACATGTGTTGTCAACAACTTTGCCAGGCATTTGCAAATCTGTTTTCAGAAACGCTATGCCCATTTTCAAGCACATTATATGAATGGCCAGCAAATGGGTCATACACTTGCTATACTGTAGTAGTAAATATAATTGTGCAAATTTTCTATTATCAAACTTTATCGGTTAAAGAGATATTCATTGCTAGGTTGGTGAAGTTTTATTTGATTCACCCTGTACACTTTCTTATGACAAATTAGCCAGTTAGCAACCATTTTGAAAATGGTGGCCATTTTATGTGTGTTATTTTATGATTTTTGGTAAAACTAAAAAGTAGTAGAAGGATTAAGCAGTTACTTTATGTTATATTTACCTGTAATATCACCCAATGTGTTAGGATTGATCACCTCCACGAGAGCCACAATATCTTTAGACATCTTTCCTGGAAGTGGTATTTGACTTGCTTCCTTCTCCTTAAAATCACTGTTAAACATAGCTTCAAACACAGGCGATGCTATTGTTAAGACTGCTTTTGATGCATAGACCTGTTTTCCATCATCCATGACAAATTTAATATCACTCCCAGGCCATGGCTTATAGAAACAACTTTTTTCGGTTTCTATGTCTGCCATTTTTAGCCATCCCATTCTGGTGGCCATTCTGGTGTAAATCATCTGAAATGTTACAATGTGATATTTCATTTTATGATACTTCATGGCCTAACCCAGCAACAACAAAAACAAAAGTATAGGCTCTAAGCGTTTTTTGGTACTTGCTATTGATATCCACTTTTCATCATTTATTTATGCTAAATGTTGGGCAACTTGCTGTCTTATTTCTTTGTAATTTAAACTCTTCTTTTGATTTAGTGGATTTACTATCCATCGAAAAAAGTTTGGGGGATATAGAGAATGGCTCCATCCGTCCATCTGTACTTCTCTCCGGGTGTCTGTACATCGTCTGTCTGTCTGTCTGTCTGTCCGTCCTTCCGTCTGACCGTCCTTCAGGGCAATAAGTCAAAAACCATTGGACCAATATCATTTATATTTTACACGTATATGCCCCATGGGAGTACAAGTTCTGCTTGAAAGCCAATTTTAAAATGGTCGGCAGTTTTAGAATGGCGACCATTTTAGTGTCAGTTTTATAGCATTTTAAGTACAACATATGAAACTGTAACATTGATATGTTTAAATGCAAAAAATCATATAGGATATTTGTTAAATTGAAAATCTAAATATTTGAGAAAACATGGTAGCCATCTTGAAAAATGGCGGCCTTTACACACTATTTTACAATTTTTGCTATACTTGAAAAATGTGATTTTTTATTATGTCACCACCAAAAAGTGGTGACATATTGTTATGGGCTCCATTTTTTGTGACGGCGGTTGGTGGTTGGTGATCGGCGGTTGGCGGTTGGCGTCTGTGACAAATTCTTAAAACTTCCAATAACTTGACAAATACTGACTGACTTGACTGACTTCAGTTTTTTTTCAAAATCATCTACGAGTTTTCAGAAGTTCAAATCTGACTTTATATCAACAATTTGACATTCAGTGACCTTCTCAAGGTCAAAAAAAGTTCAAACCTGACTTTGAATTTGAGATTTGACCTTCATTGACCTTCTCAATTCTTCTTATTATAACTTGAAAAGTAGTGAGGCGATTTTGTTCATATTTGATAATATGAATACCTTAAGCCATATGTTTTTTACTTTAACTCATAAAGTAGTGGAGCGAATTTGTTGAAATTTTATATGTGCCTACTTTGAAGCATAATACACTTTTTAGTGACAATTTGACAAGTGAGTAGCAATTTTGGAAATGGTGGTCATTTTATACATGTTATTTTACAATTTTTGCTAAAAAAGTAGTTGAGGGATTTTGTAAAAATGGCACACATGGCTGTAAGATTGGATCTGCTACCCTATGGCATTGCTGCTGTCTAGTTATTATTTTTTGTTTATTGGCCATTCTGTTGTAGATTGTCTGATAAATATTGCGAGTACTAAGCAATTTGAAATAGCATGTCAAAAATCCCATACTTGAGCTCTACAATGAGACCTTCATAGTGTTTTTGCCAGCTATCAGGTGAAGCGTCTGTCAATTAGTCAAAATAGCTTGTCTGTGTGTCATGTCAAATTAATTTATTTCATTGTTCTCAAATATCCAAAATCCATTCACTCTCAAATTCAACTTGTATATTATCAGTTTAAGTAGATAAATTTTCATATAATCCTTATGTGTCTGATAGTTATACAAACGAAAACATGTCCAGTAGAAGAAAATATTATCTGCCCAACACAAGAATATATATTTCATTTTTTGTAGTTTTGTAACATGGGGTCTATGGGGAATCTCCCTGACATAGAAGTCAAAGGATTGGTATCGATATGGAGAACTGAATTCAACAATGTTTTTCTCTTAAACCAATCATTGAAAACATTCTTTAAAAAAACACAGTATTTTATGGAATGTTGACTGATTGACAACAATTTAATGCGAAAATTATTTAGAAATATTTTATATAACTGTTTTTGTTAACATTTTTTGTTTTTTTTAGTGCAATTGTTTTTGCTCCTTTCTACCAATTCTTGAGAATGAAATAAAATGTCTTTCCAAACCTTTTTGGAACAAAATAGCATATACAACATGTTTTTAGACCTCTCAATATTATATAGTTATACAAAGGAATTTTTGGTTGATTTTAAAAAAGTATTCAAAAAATTAAAACAAAATCCCCCCGAAATAGATAAAAATCAAGATAAACCTTTTATTTCATTAACAAGATACTTTTTTAAAATCAACCAAAATTTCCTTTGTACAATTAAAATATTGAGACACCTAAACATGTTGTGTTTATGTCGTTTTGTTCCAATCAGGTTCATTTTACTCTGGAAACATGATACCAAGAACAAAGTGTTTGATGTGTTTTCTAAAACAATATAGATGAAAGTATATATATATTTTTCAAATTGTATTGTTACCATTTAAAAGATGGCCATTAAATTGCAATGTTTTAAATTTTTTGATTTTTTATAACAGGTTTAAGAGAAACATGCGTTCAAAAAGTTCTCCTAATATCGATACCACTCCTTTTCAAAGAAAATTAAATTTTCAAAGTTGGTATAAATACTTTTTTAACCACATTTCTAGATGCAATTTTACATGTAGACTTCAAATATGATATCCTTTTATTAACTAAATATTTGAATATTTAATGAAGTAAATCAAGATTATTTCTACTCGCATCTAGTATATTGAAATTGGTTATTTTGACGTACTGTCTTTAATTCAGCTATACTCACATAACATGTAAGAAATCTCTTACATATTCATAGCGCCAGCTGAGGGTGCTCTACAGTACTAGTATCTCAAGTAAAGTTTTCAAAGAATTTGGCTTATCTATTGCTGAAAAATTACTTGTCAAATTGCTTCCTATTTTTTGACCTATGGTCTCATTGCATTGCTCTGGTATGGAATATTTTGACATGCTATATTTGACACCCAATATATGCTATTCATCAATATATTCAAAATATGTAGCATTACCCATGGGCCCAAAACACTAATTAATTAATACACTAAATTAGATTTAGTTTAATTCAAGATGATGTAAGATACCATTGGTAAATTAAAATGACAGGAGAATGATGATTAAGTTCTTACCTATGATGATATTGAAGTATAGATACCATACTTTAAGAACCTTTTCCTCCTTGTTGAGTCTTAACACTATGGCGCTATATAACAAATCACTAAAGTTGGTCTTAGGTTGATTTCTCAGAACTACTTAGGCTTTTATGGCTTAACAAATATTTTTTGTATGCTCCAGTTTTTTATATGAAGAAATATTTACCTGTTTTGAAAAGATAGTTAACATTCTAAGAGTATTGATGTAAAAGGTCATCATAACTCTTCAAGTTTATAAGTCAAAAGATTTAAAGGGACATTCCTGGCCAGACCATTTCTATCCTGATATGATAGCTACAGGGTGTCCGAAAAGTAAAGATACAAATGCTCTAATTTCAAGAGATTTACCTGTTATGAGATGAAATTGCTCCAGAATGTAGAATGACATTATAAAAATATATCCTGCAACTGTCATGACTTTCAGTTTCAAAATGAAAAAGTTATGGTTGTTATGGTAACGGGAGTCGAGGGTAAGTGGAGCAACGTCACAACTGTGTTCTACAAATCTCTTTCCTGCTCATATGATCTTGGTACTCCACCATCTATTCCTATATTATATCAAATTATGTACCACAACAGCATAGGGATTATTAATGTAACATTATTTGATCATTTCATATTGCTACTATCATTGAATATTCAGTATTTTCCCCATTATCTATACATTCTTGGTGCATCTTGACCGGCGATTCGAAGACCTGACAAAACCGCTGCTGTCCGTCTCTCAGATTGCTGATAACATTGGCTTCCAGCTGAGTCTCATTTGTATGTTGACCTTTTTACAAATATTGCTTTCAAATCGTCATTAAGGTAGAAGTCTAAAGTAGGCTTTATCAGGTGAATATGGGGCATTGTATAGAAAGGTTTAATGTCAAGACACTCCATTGTTCAAGATTCAAGATGTCCAAGATTTGTTTTTTGCTTTGTGAATTGGTGCATTGTGGAGATGCAATATTGACTTTCCTACGAATAGCCAGGGACCATTCTTCTAGGCACTTGTATAATATATCTTTCATTATACTGGTTAGTGACATAACATAGTTCTGATATGTAGCAATGACATCATTAAATAAAAGAAAACACTATGGCAGCAATAATACAATGATGAACAATACAAAACATATATAGAAAATACAACAAAAAACACTGTTTCAAATGGTTGTCTTTTAGCAATTTTTCACTTTTTAGCGTTGTTCTGGAACTGCTCCGCATACCTCTCACATCCGTAACCATAACAACCGTAACTTTAACACATTTAGACAATATGTGATGAAAATTGGTAGATATATTGTAATATTGTTCCTCTACAATCTGTATCAATTTCATTTCAAAAAACCAAAATTTCTTAAAATAAGAGTATTTGTATCTTTACTTTCCAGACACCCTGTATAATCATATACTTTCCGTATTTAGTAAAACACGGGAACATGTTTTGATATGGTCAATATTGATCATTTAAAAATATGCTCTTTTTCAGTAAGCTGCCATCTTTTAAGATTTCATCGACTTATGTCATTGACTCTCAATTTTCATAACCTTGCTTATAACAATATAGGAAAGTAGCACTTCTAGACAAGTGGTCCTTAATTTATATAGAAAAATATTTTCAGAGCTTGTCAGCTTAGCATAAAAGATGAGACTTTTCAAAGGATTAAATCATAGACAAAATTGGAAAATAATATTCAGCTGGTTTTGTAATTCTTTATAGCTCCTTATATAATCCTATATGCAAAGTTTAGTTGATGACATCTTTTCCTGAGTGAAATCTTAAAAAATGGCAGCCTACTGGAATTGAGCACTTCATTTTTATGTGATCCACATTAACCATATCAAATATTTTTCCGTGTTTTGCTAAACATGGAAAGTATATATATATATATGGTCAAAGCTACCATATTAGGAGAGAGATGGTCTGGCAGTTTTTTAAGATGGCCACTAATTATCAAAATGTGTTTTGTTTGGTGGGATTTGCTACTCCGTGGAGTTTCTGTTTTTCATGTTTTAATTTAAAATTAGGTCAAGTTGGAAACAAAAGAAATTTAGAGATTAGATGAATTGAAACTTTAAAGATAAGAAGTTAAGGTCATCAAAATAGTCACGACAAAAAAAATTATTGAAGTTTTGACAGTATATTAATATATCATGGTTTTTCATTACCATAAGAAGTTCATGACCTCAAATGACCTTTTAAATGGAAGCTGGAAGTAAACCAGTCACTTTAAAATGTGTCATTAGACATGGTGTCAAGACGTCTACTCTTATATTACCTCATTTTCTAGGTACTGGTGATTTCCCAGCGTGGTTTTCCAACATTGTTGCAGAGCATTCATGAAGCTGTCAATGGCATAGATATGGTCCATCCACATATTCTGCACAACAATAGTGCCCCGGTCTCCTATGAACAGATATCTAACTGGTGAGTATAACACCAGTGCCGCTGTGTCATATGAAGAGATATCTAACTGGTGAGTATAACAACAGTACCCCTGTGTCTTATGAAGAGATATCTAACTGGTGAGTATAACACCAGTGCCGCTGTGTCTTATGAAGAGATATCTAACTGGTGAGTATAACACCAGTGCCCCTGTGTCTTATGAGGATATATCTAACTGGTGAGTATGACACCAGTGCCCCTGTGTCTTATGAGGATATATCTAACTGGTGAGTATAACACCAGTGCCGCTGTGTCTTATGAGGATATATCTAACTGGTGAGTATAACACCAGTGCCGCTGTGTCTTATGAAGAGATATCTAACTGGTGAGTAGAACAACAGTGCCCCTTTGTTTTATGAAGAGATATCTAACTGGTGAGTATAACACCAGTGCCCCTGTGTCTTATAAAGAGATATCTAACTGGTGAGTATAACACCAGTGCCCCTGTGTCTTATGAGGATATATCTAACTGGTGAGTATAACACCAGTGCCGCTGTGTCTTATGAAGAGATATCTAACTGGTGAGTATAACAACAGTGCCCCTGTGTCTTATGAAGAGATATCTAACTGTTGAGTATAACCCCAGTGCCGCTGTGTCTTATGAAGAGATATCTAACTGGTGAGTATAACACCAGTGCCCCTGTGTCTTATGAAGAGATATCTAACTGGTGAGTATAACACCAGTGCCCCTGTGTCTTATGAAGAGATATCTAACTGATAAGTAGAACAACAGTGCCCTTGCGTCTTATGAAGAGATATCTAACTAGTGAGTATAACACCAGTGCCCCTATGTCTTGTGAAGAGATATCTAACGGGTGAGTATAACGCCAGTGCCCTTGTGTCTTATGAAAAGATATCTAACTGGTGAGTATAACAACAGTGCCCTTGTGTCTTATGAAAATATATCTAACTGGTGAGTATAACACCAGTGCACCTGTGTCTTATAAAGAGATATCTAACTGGTGAGTATAACAACAGTGCCCCTGTGTCTTATGAAGAGATATCTAACTGGTGAGTATAACACCAGTGCACCTGTGTCTTATAAAGAGATATCTAACTGGTGAGTATAACAACAGTGCCCCTGTGTCTTATGAAGAGATATCTAACTAGTGAGTATAAAACCAGTGCCCCTGTGTCTTATGAAGAGATATCTAACTGGTGAGTATAACATCAGTGCCCCTGTGTCTTATGAAGAGATATCTAACTAGTGAGTATAACACCAGTGCCCCTATGTCTTGTGAAGAGATATCTAACGGGTGAGTATAACGCCAGTGCCCTTGTGTCTTATGAAGAGATATCTAACTAGTGAGTATAACACCAGTGCCCCTATGTCTTGTGAAGAGATATCTAACGGGTGAGTATAACGCCAGTGCCCTTGTGTCTTATGAAAAGATATCTAACTGGTGAGTATAACAACAGTGCCCTTGTGTCTTATGAAAATATATCTAACTGGTGAGTATAACACCAGTGCACCTGTGTCTTATAAAGAGATATCTAACTGGTGAGTATAACAACAGTGCCCCTGTGTCTTATGAAGAGATATCTAACTGGTGAGTATAACACCAGTGCACCTGTGTCTTATAAAGAGATATCTAACTGGTGAGTATAACAACAGTGCCCCTGTGTCTTATGAAGAGATATCTAACTAGTGAGTATAAAACCAGTGCCCCTGTGTCTTATGAAGAGATATCTAACTGGTGAGTATAACATCAGTGCCCCTGTGTCTTATGAAGAGATATCTAATTAGTGAGTATAACACCAGTGCCCCTATGTCTTGTGAAGAGATATCTAACGGGTGAGTATAACGCCAGTGCCCTTGTGTCTTATGAAAAGATATCTAACTGGTGAGTATAACAACAGTGTCCCTTTGTCTTATGAAGAGATATCTAACTGGTGAGTATAACACCAGTGCCCCTGTGTCTTATGAAGAGATATCTAACTGGTGAGTATAACAACAGTGCCCCTGTGTCTTATGAAGACATATCTAACTGGTAAATATAACACCAGTGCCCTTGTGTCTTATGAAGAGATATCTAACTGGTGAGTATAACACCAGTGCCCTTGTGTCTTATGAAGAGATATCTAACTGGTGAGTAGAACAACAGTGCCCCTTTGTTTTATGAAGAGATATCTTACTGGTGAGTATAACAACAGTGCCCCTGTGTCTTATGAAGATATATCTAACTGGTGAGTATAACACCAGTGCCACTTTGTCTTATGAAGAGATATCTAATGGGTGAGTATAACAACAGTGCCCCTGTGTCTTATGAAGAGATATCTAACTGTTGAGTATAACACCAGTGCCCCTGTGTCTTATGAAGACATATCTTACTGTTGAGTATAACACCAGTGCCCCTGTGTCTTATGAAGATATATCTAACTGGTGAGTATAACAACAGTGCCCCTCTCTCTTATGAAGAGATATCTAACTGGTGAGTATAACACCAGTGCACCTGTGTCTTATGAAGAGATATCTAATGGGTGAGTATAACAACAGTGCCCTTGTGTCTTATGAAGAGATATCTAACTGTTGAGTATAACACCAGTCCCCTGTGTCTTGTGAAGAGATATCTAACTGGTGAGTATAACACCAGTGCCCCTGTGTCTTATAAAGAGATATCTAACTGGTGAGTATAACAACAGTGCCCCTGTGTCTTATGAAGAGAAATCTAACTGGCGAGTATAACACCAGTGTCCCTGTGTCTTATGAAGAGATATCTAAATAGTGAGTATAACACCAGTCTCTTGTGTCTTACGAACAGATATCTAACTAGTGAGTATAATAACAGTGCCCCTGTGTCTTATGAGGAGAAATCTAACTGGTGAGTATAACACCAGTGTCCCTTTGTCTTATGAAGAGATATCTTACTGGTGAGTATAACAACAGTGCCCCTGTGTCTTATGAAGAGAAATCTAACTGGTCAGTATAACACCAGTGTCCTTGTGTCTTATGAAGAGAAATCTAACTGGCGAGTATAACACCAGTGTCCCTGTGTCTTATGAAGAGATATCTAAATAGTGAGTATAACACCAGTCCCCTGTGTCTTACGAACAGATATCTAACTAGTGAGTATAATAACAGTGCCCCTGTGTCTTATGAGGAGAAATCTAACTGGTGAGTATAACACCAGTGTCCCTTTGTCTTATGAAGAGATATCTTACTGGTGAGTATAACAACAGTGCCCCTGTGTCTTATGAAGAGAAATCTAACTGGTCAGTATAACACCAGTGTCCCTGTGTCTTATGAAGAGAAATCTAACTGGTGAGTATAACACCAGTACCCCTGAGGTTGACTCATAATTTTTTTACATTTTTTTACATTTTTATATGTAATACCCAGACCAATGGTGGAGCACTTTACACAAAAAAATGTCCACCATATTTAACCCACCGTTTTCAATGCTTTGTCTTAGTATTTTTCCTTTGATCTGTTCACTTCCACAATAATGCGGTTTTAGATTCCAGATGAATTTATGTAAAATATTATTAATATCTTTCAAGACAGAGTCTGTTGTTTTAAAATTGAGATGTTTATATAGTAATAACTACATAACATATAAATGACATTGAAAACATACAAGTTCAAAGCCATGGTTCAGATGGTATATGAAAATATTATAAGGATGGTGACCATTTGAGTGTGAGTGGCCTTTGAGATACAGTGGCATCCCTTGAATTTTCTTTGAGATGTTTATTTTGGTTGATGAGTAGCCATTCTTAAATAAGTAATTACTAGCTTTCCATTTAATTGCATACTGCTATCCATCCTATTTGAAATTACAAACTAAAGCACACATCTCCCATTTTATATCATGTGACTTAAATGTAATGGTAACTACAATAACAGGGCTCCTGTTTTTGTTTTTATTATGTCCCCATCACATAGTGTGGGGCCATATTGACGGCCTGTCTGTCTGTCCGTCTGTCCGTCCGTCTGGCAGTTTTCTCCAAAACTGCTACAGATATCACCTTCAAATTTTCAGGGATAACTTATGAGTGCATCTAGATGTGGATGAAAAAAATTTAACTCGATACCTACTTCTTGTCGGCCATTTTGAAGTCAAATGCTAAAATCCTTGTCTGCAAACTTTAAGAAAAATGGCTTCACAGTTGCTTTTGAAACTTAAAATCTTGTTCAGCTCACGTTTGTACATCTGATTAGGTTTTGGACCTGTTAGCTCAGTCATGTCAGCCATTTTGAATGTTTTAAGAAAGGTTAGCGCGGGATTATACTTTGTATCATATTGAATGGTGTTTTTTAGTTATCATACTTTAACTATTTTGTAGCTTTATAAATAATTTCAGGTGCACTTTGTTGTAAAAGCCTATGTTATTGTTAACAGTAGTTATATGTGATAATTTTGTAAAAAGAAATCAGCAAAAACTCATAATCACTTTTTTATTCCGTCTTAAAATCTTGTCTGTAAAGTCTTGTCTTCGCGTTTTCAGGTGAACCGTTTGGTAGATCAATTTCAAATTTTCAGGGATGATTCTTAGTATGAAAATCTAGATCTGATTAGGTTTTGGGTATTCTGGGTAAATGTCAAGGCAGCCATTTTGGATTTTCCGTCCTAAAATCTTGTCTGTAAAGTCTTGTCTACGCATTTCCAGGTTAACTGTTTATTAGATCAATTTCAAATTTTCAGGGATGATTCTTAGTATGAAAATCTAGATCTGATTAGTTTTTTGGCATTCTGGATAAATGTCAAGGCAGCCATTTTGGATTTTCCATCTTAAAATCTTGCCCGTAAAGTCTTGTCTACGCATTTTTAGGTGAACCTTGTGGTAGATCAATTTCAAATTTTCAGGCATGATTCTTAGTATGAAAATCTAGATCTGATTAGTTTTTTGGTATTCTGGATAAATGTCAAGGCAGCCATTTTGGATTTTCCATCTTAAAATCTTGCCCGTAAAGTCTTGTCTACGCATTTTTAGGTGAACCTTGTGGTAGATCAATTTCAAATTTTCAGGCATGATTCTTA